AAAGTGCGTGTCTGCAGGATAGGACAGGTCTGATGGAGCGATGATCAGTTGATTTGAACACAGAGTGATAGGTGAATCTAAGAAATCCTAATCCTAATCTAATCTAAAGCTAGAACTGCTGTTTTATTTCTCACATTTATTAGGTGATTGTTTGGTAATGTTATTTTAAAATAATAATTATTAATTGAAGGTGCTTTTCAATAACCATGGCATACTGAACGTAACGTCCCAAACTTCTTTGTCATTGGTTTGCTTGTGTCATTACAACTCGTACGAATGAATAGATTAAAACGTGTTTCATTTACTTTCAGATGCTAGGAACCTCAGCAATTAGCTGTAGATAATCACCTGCAAATATTGACATATGTTATGCAAATAAAATGTTGATTTTACGCGACATAACAATTATGCAAAATTGTAGCAATAAATTATGGTTCTCTTAGAAAATCTCTGACCGATTAGGTTAAACGGCGCAGTGGATTATAGACTGGCCTCATTTATTGAAAGTACAAGTTTTGAATCCAAGCTTAGAATGCAATTTTCTCATCAACTGGAAATTCCATTGGGCAAAAAAAATTATCGATTAAAAAAGAGGGTGCCAGAACTAGGATTTGCAAATTTTAAGTACAGCGTGGCACAATGGTATGGTTATGCCAAAATATGTGAGGAAAACTATAATGTAATGCGATAAGTCAGGTATTGTTCCAGCCAATGACAGGTATTCAATATCCAACTAGAAATTCATATGCTGGATATCGTTTTGAATCAAGTTTCGCTCACCCCCCCCTCATTCTCTCACCCTACCCAGGTAACCATGAGCAATGGGTTGGTACAGTCTTCTGTTTTTTCCAAGCGTGTTCCATTTAACAGGATTCCGCTCTTCGAGTCAACTTTCTCAACAATATTCTGTTATTTATTGCCGTTTTATATCCTTCTGTTGACATCGAACATGTATCTCAACATTCGCATTTCTGTCAAGTTCAGCTTTGTCGTGTTTCATCAGGACAGACAAACTTTCCACTCCTTACAGAAGTACCGGTCTTACTCTTGTTCAGTACACTTTCTCCTTTAGTTTGATGAACGTCGCACTGAGCAGTATGCCGCCCACCTTTCTCCTTATGAGCCACGCCTTTTTACCAGTTCGGTAATTAACTGTCCATTTCCTCATTCTTTTGAAGAATGGAACCGATGTCTTGAAAGATACTTCAATTCCTGGGTTTGAGGCAGCATACTCTCCCATATTCTCATTATTCGTTGGCTTCTCCCTTGTTGTCCAAACTTGAGTAGTCCACCAAGTGCTCCGACTTGCGTCTGCTGCACCGAAGGTTGCTTATCCCATGGACTCCTTTACATGCTTTCTGTTTTCACAGTTCAACACTGCATCATTTGAACAGAATATGAAATATGGGGCTGCATCTTGCAGGCATTTAGTTATCGCGTCAGTCGCAATTGAAAACAAGCAGGCCTCTGGTCCACAGGTGCTTCAAACCCTCCAGTTTCAAAAGAAAAGAAAGTTAAAAAAATTAAATTTATTATTACAAGGCTAACAACCGTCAATGGTAATTTCTCAGAAACAAATTTCTCTAAAACCTCATGGAATTGTGAGTTCTTGAGAGTATTATTTTTAATTGTCATGAAGGCTAGTCTGTTTAGTCGTCGTTGCGCCACTGTCGATCTGTCTACATTCTCTAGATGTTTCATCTTGGAGAAAGTCGTCTCTCCAGTCGCATTAGTCATCATTAAGCACAAGTAAATTCGCAGTGCTGTTTCAACGTTAGGGAATCAAGAAGTTAATCATTGGTGTAGATATCAGAAGTTGTAGTGTTTCATCCTTGTGCCTGAATTCATCACATTGCCCTAGAAAGTTCCTGAGGTGAAGAAATTCTTCCTCGAATTCAGGATCGATGTCTTCTGAGTAACTTTCTGATATCTTCATCATTCGTTGTTGGAAATTCGACCAGAAAATCAAATAATGAATAAATATTTTGATATGCTTCGGTGCAAGGAGAAAAATTGAGGATAACTTGTCGATGGTAGGTACATGTACTTGCATTTTAAACTTCCGTTTTCCTTGCAAGGTAACGTCTTCAGGATTATCATCCTTGATTGGTTTCTTCTCCAAAGCTCTCGTTTTTCTTCGTTGCATTATTCCGCATTTTCTACTTTGTTTTTTGTTTTATTTTCAAACACTTCAAACTGATCCTGCTGCGGCTTCAGAAAGTCCAGTAGAGATTTAAGAAGTTTAGTAGCTGACTGATGCTCTAGTGTTTCAACGTGAAGTGAGTTGTTGACCTGATTCAACCTCTCTGGAATGACAGCCCAGAAGTTTACCAAAACAGCTGTTTCCACCATTGATAACTGCTGAAGTATAGAGTTTGCCTCATGAATTGTGTCAACCTTGTGATGTCTATCTTCTGAGATTAACTTTAAAGCTTCTTGAAAACAGCTGTAGCCTTCAAACAAGGCTTTTGTGGCATACCATATAATATTTTATGCTCATTTAACTAGTAATGCAGATACACATCTACTTTCAGCTGTTAGGCAGTGAATCGCTCTGAGTGGAATTCTAAAGTTCTTCGCTAAGACTAAAGAATAAAACTGTTTCAATGCAGATTTTCACACACCGTAAGCACATACACCTACCAAGTTAAGGTAGTGTGCAACACGTGAAACTTGATGTGCAGGATGATTGATATTGATAGCATGTGCTTGAATTTCTTTTTAATACCTGGCGTGTTTTATGCGTTGTCAAAAGACTGTCCCCTTAAATTAGCTGCACCAATTCCAATTTGTTCAAACAAATGCAAGACAACGCTAGCGGCACGAGCTTCTCCAGAATGACCTGCAATGGGAATGAAAGGGAAAAAACGATCAACAGCCTTTGTATCTGATATGCTAACATCGGGAACAACTACAGACGCCTGGTCAATGCGAGAATTGTCTGGTGTCGAATCAACACTCAGAGAAACGTACTTGACTTCTGTGAGTTTTTCTGAAACGGCTATCAATATTTGATTTCCCATAATCTATATGGTTTCCTGAGATATTGCTATATGAGAATTTAAAATAGGATCATACTCAGCAAGTCGTTCACGTATTGCAGGGTAACTGCCATTCTGTCGAGAATTAAGTAATTTTTATCACCGCAAAATGCTAATCCACTAGATGACAGAAACTTTATAGTTTAAACTTCGTTACAGTACTTTTGTTAAGTATTCTTTTTCCTTTGTGAATTGAATTTCCAATATTAAATCAATTTTTCCAAGTACGTTTCATCCAGAAATCCATGACACCACAGAGACACGGTGTTCAGAACTGTTCTTATATTCTGTAATCCTCATATATTCTTAAAACCACCATTATAAACTAAGTTTTCGATCCATGTATACCATCAAAGAGAACGCAAGAAAGCAAAATAGATTTTCTGTTGAGGGCAAGAAACACCATTCTCTTAATTTATCACCAGTTATAGTTTTGGTATACTAATAAATGTGAAAATTTTCTTTTCTGATTAGAGCATTGTTATTTGGATAAAGGCAAGTCATCATCATTATTGCGTTGACATTCCACGGACCTTATTTACACAAACTTCAGGTACCTCCTTTTTTATGTTTGAGTTTGTCGTCTTGATTCTCAGATCCCAGATCATCTCTCTTCTGGTGGACAAGTTAAGCATCAAGTCCTGCTGGCACTGTAATGATAAGAGACAACATGAAAGTCTAGTGTCTCAGTCATTTTGCCATCATTGGGTGCATTTTTTGTTCACTCTGTTCGCTGTTCTAAGTTTGAAAATTGATGGAGCAGTATTTCATGTTTCCGTGTCTTTTCATTTTGTTTTCTCTTTTGCCTGCTCCAATCTCAATCTTCATCTCTGACACGATCAATCAGAAATTGAATCAATTGATAAATATTAATTTAACTGAATTGTATTTATTCAACTTCCTGGATGACGCGACTCAACGGAACTGGTCAGGGTCATAAATAAGAATACGGTTCGGCGAGCTCAGAGCGCCTTTGCCTGAGAGAGGCACTGGTTGAAACCAGAACTGATGTGGCTTTAAGTGCGCCTTAACTGAAAACAAATTATGCCTAGTTTCAAATTGACGTATGGCATCCTTTTCGAATTACAGAGCCCAATAGTACTGAGTAGGGAGGTTAATACTTAACAATGAACTGGCAGAATGCACATCATTAATATTAAACTTAATCTAGTCGTCGTAAAACATGTTAAAAGGAAATGCATATTGAACGGAAGGTAGGCCTTTGCCTCCAGGCATGACAAGTTGACGATATACTCTAAAGCCTTAACAAATCAACAAAGGCCAGCCTTATTGGCATCCACTCTTAAATCTCTATCAATCATTATAGATAGATTGTAGTCAATAGATTGTCATACACATGACATAATAACATGGAATTTAAAAAAATATATTAGTATCGAAATTATACTCTTTGTTAAATCGATGACTTATTATACTTATGCTTTGACTCGTCATTCGCAAATGAAAGAAAATTTTCAATGGCGGAGGCCCCTGGATTGTAACCCCTAAAGTCCAACGCTTAAATCGGCCCTGAGAGCAACCCGTTAAGGAAATTCACCTCTTTTGCCGCAAGTATTTCGAACTATCGTTTTCGCTCAATTTACATGTCTTCTGAAGGTCTAATTTAGTTTTCTGGCACCGGCATTTTACTCGTGAGATTCTGATTTGGTTAAGGCCAGAGCTTGCCAACGTACTCGAGTTATGAGTCTGTACTATAAAGGTACCTGTGCTGATACAACCAACGACTTTCACCGAGAATTAAGTTATATAAACCTTTACTTTCGTCGAAAACCGATTGTAACACATCAAGCACGGCTAAATCCAACTTCCTTGTAAGTTAGGGTTTAAAGTCTGTTCGCTATTAGCACCTCTTTATGCCTCCGCCGTTTCGCTCTGCGTTCCCTTGAAAACGGCACCGTCTTTCAAAGTTTTCAGTGAATAGTCGTGGACCTTGGAATTTTCCTTCTGCTGTTTAGCACAGTCACGTGCCCATGGCAGCACTTCACCTGGAAGACACAGAATGTAAGATATATTTTAACAAATATCATCCTCTGCCTGAGAGAGGGCTACACGAGGCACAGCTTAGACAGCATTAACAGGCTCGATGTCGCAGATTTTGACCACTCTGTTGGAGACTACATGCTATGTTTGCTAGGCAACTATGGACCACCCTTTAAAATAAAACACTTGAAGCTGATGGTACAGAAACGTAAATCAGCGCGGCTCCATGCACTTCATGAAAAGAATGGCGTCACAAGTAGTTTACTGTAACGAACTTGTAAGGAAGAGAAATATTCCGACGATTTCAAGGAAACAAATTTCCAAGTTGATGACTACAACTCATCTCGCCGTTATGCGGATTGCCATCCAGACTTCGTCCAATAGGTCTTACACACCAACATTTACTTACCTTTTCCAAAGATCAAGAACAAAACAAAACTGACAGTCAAAATCCTGTCAGTCAGGTTGAAGAAAAGCAGCCACTCTTCTTTAGTTCCCTAAAACAAGATGAAGATTAATTGTCGTTTTTCAATCAGCATAATTATGTGGCATGGCCAAAAACTTCTAGGAGCCTATGCATTGCGAAAGACGCGTTGAAGCCTGTGGACTGAAATATCGAATCGTTTCGGACGATGACTTGTTACATAAACGACAGTGCAGTTTAGTTTTTCACGAAACTGGTCCTGAACAAAGCGGTGCTTGGTATTTTTTCTCGCAATAATAATGATTGAAAATAATAATGAATCGAGTTTTGTGTCATCAACAGGAAAAGGAGCACATATCCTTTAAACTTTGCTTGCTTAAGTTAGGCAAATGTATATCGATGAATAAACCGATGCCAGTAATACCGAGAATGTGCTGCGAACGACTCTCATTCAGACGGTAGTCTTTTTGGATGTTCAGGTCATAGTGCATGTCGAATTTGTCCTAGCTGGTCTGTTATAACGAGGTCCTAATGCCAGTAAAGAAATACTCATTTCGCGGACACGATTTATCAACCGTACATTCGACGCCACACACGTGTCGGTTGCAACATTGCTGGGCTTTCTACTTTCTTGAAAGGAAAACAGCTTTGTTTGATGGAAACATGCAGAGATGTTATCATCATTATATCGAACGCTTCCCCAATCCCTGAACGGAACTGTGACTGAAGCAGGCAAGTTAAGATTTGGAGAGATTCGGTCAGGGCTGTGGTTGAAGACCTCTCTGGGCAGTCAGTATGCGGGAAAAAAGTATACAAGAGGGGAAGACTGACTGAACATGATGGGGAGATTGTTCGTCATCGACAAAGATGGAAAATAGCCTGCCCCGCCCCCGGTAGGTCATCTGAGCCGACTTATCCAGCGATGGTGACAATAGTGAAAATCAACTAAGCTTTTTAAGCTGCTCTTTCCATTCAAACGTTTTTGGCTAATGGAAATGCTCCTCTAACACATGTTCTACATACATATCAAATCTTCCACATTGGAGATTTTTCTGCCTCCTTAAAATTAAAATGGATTTAGCAGCATGAATATTTGACAACGGAAAGATGGATTGAAACTCGACAACCCCAAAGCTGTACATGACATTAACTTTGAAACACCTGTCATAAGAATAAGGGGAGATTAATTTAAAGGGGACTGCTAATAGAAACGTTTCAGGTAAATATTTCTCTTTCATGCAGAGTTTTAGATTTTTTTTTGAAGAAAAACTCGGATACCATTTTTCGTCTGCAAATATCTGCAGTACTTTGTTGCAAAACTCAAAAATCTCACTCAGTGGAATCTGACGTATTTCGCAGCGAATAAAACGTTTTACCTCCCACTCTGATTTGCGAAAAGCAAATGATGGACTATGTTCATTGTAGTGTAGCAGTTAGTTTTCGTTAGGAACACTTCCGGCCGGTGTGAGGTAAAACAGTATAACAATATCTGTGTCTCATAACTGTTGTCGAACTTGGGGCGGAACAACGCTGTGGCATTCGCTTACGTTAGGAGTCATCGCTCCCATGACAGCCGGAGCCAAAATGCCAGCCATGGAGCTCATGGTGTTTCCAATGCCGAACAAGGTGCCCGAAAACTGGGGGGCAATGTCCATGTAATTGATCAAAACACCCGAATACTGAAATCCACTGAGGCCCATTCCCAGCGTGAGGAACGTGGTCACCAACGTCACTTGGCCCTCGCTGCATAAGCCAGCCGCCACCAGAAACGTTCCTTGGCCACCATAAGCTAAAGTCGGTTCAAAATCATGTCCAAAATACACAAAGAAACCTGATTTGCTGTTTTACCAATCGCTGTCATTAACTTCCGCGTCATCGCAGCTTCGAGGTACTTTCGAGACTGAAGAAAGTCTGCGAGGAAGCCGCTTATGTTGGTACCACAGAAGTAGGCCACGTATGGTAAGGAGCTCAATAATCCAAGCTAAATTTTAAGACTATTTAAGAGTAGCACACGTTTATATTTTTTATCTAAATTGTGAAATTGAAGAGCTAAGA